GAGTAAATTTCAGTTTTGTGCAGAATGCATATAATTAGATTTAGAGAGATTCTAAATTTTTACCTTCTGTTTGACTTTCTAACAGTAGCAACGGTTTTTCATTCTAGATTGCCATATTTAGTGAAAGTTTTGATAGTTTATACACCGTTTAAATTTTTTTAGAGCGATCCGTTACGTTCTTTTGTGTGTGTCTCAAGGCAGCAACGGGGACGGGGTGACCAAGGATGACTCCACCATCACCGCCCTGATCCCCGCTAATCCCATACTCGTGAGCCCCATGAAGCTTCGCGGGGACAAAACGCCGCCCATCCCCGTCAATATCGGGTATCCTGTACCCATCGGGCATCCATGGGGATCTCAAAACTGACACAGATAGGTGAGATTGGAGAGGGCATGCTTGTTGGGAGAGGTGGAAAAAATAATTGTGTGAAATATCTAGATATTGATCTATATATTGTGCATGTATAGGACGCATGACATAGTTTTTTGGGTATCCATGGAGTCCCCATGGGGGAAATTTTATCTCCATCCCCGCCCTGCGAGATTAATGGGTACCCACCAGACAATACCCATGGGGTGAATTTGTTCCCCGTCCCCGTTCCATGATGGGTAAATCCCCGCGGGTATGCGTCCCCACGGGGAATATTGCCATCTTGATGTGTGTCGGTCGATAGAGCGAGCTGCTAGTTTTTTTTTGAGAAACGCCTACAAGTTTATGTATACTCTACCCGCAAAAGAAAAGTATATTTATACTCGTTAACCATTGCAGGCACAATACTTTGGATACAAGATCCTTTTGTAATTCCTATAAGAAATACGATAAAACTTCTGGAGATATCTTCTTCGTGGCATCAATCTTTGCAAGATGAAAATAATTCTAACATATCAGTAAAGAGACTACAATTGAACCGGGGCAACAAAAATGTCATTCGTTCACGTTCACGTTCACATTCACGTCTCGTTCACGTGCACGAACTTGATTACCAATAAAGGTTTCTAACAGCCTCTTGAGTCACCCATACAAATAGTAGCCATGATCAATGGACGGACTTGGGTCGCGGATATAATCCCCTAATGTGAGGTTGTCGAACCACAAGACCTTCACTATAGTGTTGATGAAGGATTCCAACTTCACAATGAATGAAAACAACAAAAGAATATGATGCAATAAGATAAACTCATCTGATACGAATAAACAGATGAGTTGTAGAGATGGCTAGGGTTTGAGAGAGGAGCGGCAACTGGAGTTTTACCCTGTTCTCTCACCTCCCACTGCCATCTTGACGCTGAAAGTTGTGGGGACCTCGGATTTTAGAGCTTTCTGTTTTCGCCAGCGTCTTCATACTAGTGTTTTCCCGAAAATAAATTTTTCCTCTACCATGGCGAGGCCATGGAGCAAGAGAGGTTTATGTTCTCATATGCTAGTTGGGCCTCCATCTTAGATTTACGTGTGAAGCTGAACTCGGCCCAACATAAAATATGGTAGCAGGCTGTTAGTTATTTCCATGGAACTATTGTAACTTCCCCATGCCCCATTCTTCGTGGTAGAAATGCAAGCCCAATGTTGAAAAGGAAGCGCGAGCACTATATCTCACTTATAGCGAAAGTATTGCAAAATCACTAGTTAAGGGGTATCTCTTGCAAAGGTCACTTTCACCTTCTCATGCGCTGACAAGTGACGCGCTGTATGTGCGCCACTTGTTGCAACCTAGGAACTTTTCCCTTTTTTTGTAGATTTATTTTTTTCAAAATATTTTATCTATTGGATTGTAATCCAAATTCCGAACCCGTCTCCACCATTGGATTTCTCGCGTCGAGATCTTCGATACTGGATCCCATATTAATAGATTTTGACAAAAAAATCATAAAAACCCGAAAGAAAAAATCATAGCTGGAAGCATGTTTTTTCTTCTTCATTTTTTCCCTTTTCGAAAAGCAAATTGTGCCTCAATGAGATGCAAATATGTGCCTCCCATGAAAACAAAAAAAATCACAATTTTTTCTCTTTTCCGAGAAGCGCGGAAGCAAAACTGTGCTTCTCGTGGAAGCAGCAAAAAATCAGGAAAAAAATTTGCAATTTTTTATCCCTTTGCGAGAAGCACAGTTGTGCTTTTTCGTGGTAACAAAACTTTGCCTTCACAAGAAGCAAATCCATGTCTCTCTGAAAGCATTTTTTTCCTTTATCCGAGAAGCACAAGCATGCTCCTAGCAAATCAGTGCCTCTATGAGAGACAAAACTATGCTCATGGTAGAAGAACATTCACATGAAAATATTCACGATTTTCTCTCCAAAACCTAGGAAAAAAGATGAAACC